GCTCAATTATGAGTCTCTGAAACACAAGAAACAAGACAGAAGAAAAGCAAATGAAAGAAAACGAAAACTATCTTAATTATACAGGCTTTTAATTCCAATCTACTGATTGCTAGCCCTTTGAGAGTAATATATTTGGGATGAGCCACTACTGAAATTCCTGTACCTTGAGGACAGTCTGGGTTATCACGGTCCCTAGCTTGTTTGACGATGTCTGATACAAAATATGTGTTTAGTACAGGAGAGTAATGGATGCTTATACCTTATGTTCTACCAAGGAAGAATTATGAATAGTTTATTTAGTCAATCTACACTTTGGGTGGTGTGACTAGATCCCCAGAATTATCCACAAAGTCAACCGTGACCAAAACAACATTCTCTCTACCCTGAGATGCCATCGTGCCCACACTTCCTCTCTTATCACAATCACTTGGGACACCTCTTCTTTTTGTTCTATGAATGACAGCCATTTCAAACAGTCTGCTACTGGTTTGGCTCCTCTGTCCAGAGACTGTCAGCAGAATTTTTTGTCATCTCCATATTCTTCCTTATAAACCCCAAACATGACTCAGAAACAGGCAACAGTAGCTCATAACCATGCCTTATACTTAAATCAACCAATTCAACAATGTATCTCTCTCAACAGATTATTTGTCTGATTTAACTGGTCAGCTAAAAAAGATTTGGCCACCATATGGCCTGAAATGCACTTTGACGCCAAACACTATAATTTTCAAATCACTTTTACATATGATTTCATTTAATTTATGGTATTGTGATAAAGTTAAAACTCACGAAGCTATCATAACTAGGAATGGCCCAAGCCGTCATCTCTTTCAGTTTCTTTATTCCTACCATAGTAATGGTGGCAATGACACCAGTGTGCTGATTTGAATTATCTTATCCTTTTGTAGGAAAATTAATATAGTTTTTAAATTAACTTTAAAATTGACTTTGACCAGCCAGTGTTTCTCTGTCTCAGTGATATTGTAACCTGTGTCAATCACTGAGACACGTAATATTCTATCCTATTTGGGGGTGGATTTGAGAACTATATTCTCAGAATATTGTTTAAATTAAATATGGAAAGAAAAATGTAAATTACAAAGCTTTAAATATGAAGATGCAATAACATTGGCAGTTGTCGCCCATGTGTTATCTTCTATTTGAAGACATGGAAAAGGCACAGATCTCACACCATATTCTGCAAACTCTGATACAAAGCTTGACATGTGCTAAAATGTCAACTCTACCAACGTCAGTCACTAGGACTTGGAAGTCTCTATTCTATTCACCTTTCAGATCAGTGTTCCTTCTGGATACAGTTTTGGAAGCTCCAGGAAGTGTTCATAACCAAGTGGTACCTATTAATTTCCCCGAGTAATTTACTGCATGCCTTTGTGGAATATCTTCAAAAGAGTATATGTAGTTAGATACAAGGTTTTATTTTTTCAAAGACAGGATCTCACTAAGTAGTTTTGGCTATCTTGGAACTCACTGTGTAGACTAGGCTGGTCTGAGTGCTGGGATTAAAGGTATATGGCACTATGCCCAGCACTTACAAGAACTTATATCAACTGTTTTACATCAATATTCTATCCAGGGAAACAGAAAGGAACTTTAGCCGGTGACAAACGCTGAAGTTAAACCACGGAATCTTGGAGGCATGAGTTGAGGATTTGGTCACAGGGACAGTATCTGTGTTCTGGGCTAGTCTCCTTTTTTTGGTGTGAGCTCAGAATTGGATTCAGTATTTCAAGCAATTTCAAGGAATCTACTATGGCTTGAACTATAGGCATGAATGTAGAAAGAAGGGGACTGCTTCCCTAGATTGTTTTCACCTAGGTGATAAAATAATCCCTCACTTTATGGGTGAGTTAATTTACTGTGAAGGATTTAAGTGTCAAAGAATATTGCCTGGATGATACAAGTGCAAACAAGTACCTCTCCTGTTACAATGTTTGAAACAGTGACAGGTTTGCTTGTTTAGTTGTTGCTCACAAACCTTCCTAGTCAGCCTGTGTGTGTGTGCACGTGCACGTGCACGCACACACACACACACACCTACACATACCCTATATTAAAAAGACTTCAAGGATGCTAGGATCATATCTTTTAGTCCTTCCTGGTATCATATTTGGTATTGATAAAAGATAACGAACTATTTTAATTAGAGTTCATGAATGTTGAATGATACCTTATATGTGCTTTTAATAAAATCATGAAACCAGATTTTTTTATGAAGAGAGAAACATTTGTTCCTTTGCTCATTTAAAATTACCAAGCATTAAACTTAAAATAAAAATGGATAACAAAGCAGAACTCACATTGTTTGATGGAGCTCAGGTATACTCTGTAAGAGTAGAACCTGGAAAATAAGTCACAGCATCTTCAGGAAATGTCTATTTCCCTTTGTTGCCCCAGAAGAGCATCTGTCTGAGCCCGAGAAAGCATCACAACTCACATTGAAAATTCACTGCAGCAGTACTGGGATTCTCAGCCACTATCATTATGAAAGGCCTCCAGGTGATCAGCTCTTGGCCTCTTTCAGGCAGGAAATTGTTCAGGTCTTTTTTGACAGATTTAGAAACAGAGAACCAATAAATCCATCTGCAACCTCGGAGACTTATCTGTCAGTTGCAGACTGACGGGCCTTTGTTTTGTTTTGCTTTGCTTTGCATTATCCTGAGGCACTGATGGCTGCTAATAATTGGGACATAGAAATAATCAAAGAAGAGGCACAAACAGCATCACGTATTAGAGGACCGGATCAGATGCCCTAAGCGTCGTTGTTCTCATCTGCAGTAACATGCATCGGTTTATACAATATGTTGCTTTCAAATACACCTGTCAGAAAATATCAGAACAAATTGATATTAGTTAGTATTCAGATGGTCACTTGTTCCACCTAAGGAGAATACACACAACATAGTAAAAGAGCAAATACCTAGCCAAAAAAAAAATCTTATTAACACATGCTTATTTACCAGAATTATATTATTATGTGTGAACTGTCTATGAAAATCTGAATAACCATGTGTGAGATCAAGTTGGAAGTGATTTTATTCATATTCCAGAATTTTGCTCGTGATTCCAAGTGTACTGTCTTTCTGGATATAATCATGAAACAGAAAGAACTTGAAGAGGAGAAGGGAGGAACTGGGGAGAGAAAGATGGGGCTTTCTGAAGTTCTCCACCATGACACATAGAAAATCGAATGATTTTCCAAGCTCTTTCTTTGCTATCTCATTCAGGTTATATAGACATTATGTTCTACGCTTGCATTTTGAAACATTGCATTCATCACATTCATGATCTGAAACATGAAAAAAGAACACTTGATTATCTTTTGATTTAGAGGCTAAGTAGTTGTGAAATTTCTTATTTAATTATCAAAAAAATGGCAACTAAGGTTTCTTCTTTAGAATTTTGAGTAACAATAGTAGAGGTTTAGCAATTGATTTTATGTTGGCTGGCAGTAAAAAATATCACTTTCCATTTAAGTCAACATGTAGGCACATTGCCTGCCTATCTTTGAATTTTTCCTTTGTTGTGGCAGATTCCTAATGTATTAGCTGATCCCATTACTACAATTAAATCAAAGGAAAAATCTCTACCAAAATGATCTCCCTTTTCATTAGAGCCAATGACAATGAATAGAAGACTTAGGGAACCTCCCGTGTCTTATTTTAAGATTTCCTACTTGGGGTCAATTCGGTAGAATAAATGAAATAAGCAAAGTTAGGTATGATTGAGTTCTTCTCTGAGGTGCTTTTGGAGACAGGCCATATTAGGTCAGTGAGCTCAACACAATACCCATTTCTTTGCAGAATAGCCTATCCAGGCTTTAGATTTTCAAAGCAGAATGAGTCAAAGGACATTTGGAGGAAGAAGGCTGTGGACCCTCTTCATGGCACCTGGCAGAATGCCACAGAGCACTGTCCTAGTCTGTACTTGGTAACCAGGAAGTTACAATTTCTTACTGGATCCACATTCAAAGCTCCAGCTGCACTGCTCTGTGAATAAGATCCTAGCAATGGTTCTGGCCTCAACAAAATCTAGTATCTCTACCAAGATTAAATAGTTTGTTCTTTACTTTTCCTGCAGCCGGAACAGGAAACTTTCCAAAATTTCTGCAAAAGCTTCATCCTCTTCCTGTCTCATTGGTCAGTGGTCAGTGTTGAGTAAGATGTCCCTCACTGTCCAAGCAACCACAGGGAAGGTAGATATGCCATGATTTACCCAGTTCAGAATGCTCATTTGGGATCACATCAACCCCAACAAACAGCAAAAGCAGATACTGAAAGAAAACCAAAACAGAAGACAAACACTGAGTCAGGACAAGAGCAAACAGAATCATTTGATCTTGAAAATCTATCATCTCTCTAAAGTCTTTTGAAAGGTTTATAAATTATTCTATTTTTAGTCAACTTCCCTTTGCATCATTGAACAACGCTCCATAAATATGAGTTAAATTTAGCATTCTCTTACCAACTTCTAATCATCCATTCACATTCTAGTTGCTAGGCAGCACTTCAAACTGCAGCCCTTTACTGATTTCTCACTTTATGCCACAACCTGCTAGTCCATGTCTGATCTCCTAGAAGCCTTACTCATTAATATTTAGAATAAAAGCATCAGTAGTTAAGATAGCCTTTTTCCAGTTTAGTGTCATTCTTAATTAATCAAGAAGTGAATTGTAGTAAAGCTATTTGCCTTGGGTCAGTGAATTGTAAATTTGAGAGATGTAGTTCCTCGAATGCTTCTTTTTTTCTGGTTTGCATCTCCTTAGTTATTGGCTTAGGTCATTATTTCCCTTATCAGGTCCATAATGGTTGTAAGCAGAGTTCGCTTTCGACTCTACCTGTCATGTTGTTGGTGGTCATTAACAGAAATTCATGAAGCTGTTATTATTACCAAGATCACCTCATGAGTTCCATAGGTTGAGAGCATTCTTTGATTATTAAAATTTTCTCAATTAACTCAACAAAGAGCTTTCACACTTTACCATTTTTAAACATTTTTTATTTATATATTTTTTCATCTGTTTGTCTATGTCCATGTAAGGATGGATACCTGAAAAGAAAAAAAAAAAAGAAAGTATTGCATTCCCTTGAGCTATAGGCATCTGTAGTTGTGAGCTTTCCAGTGTGGGTACTTTTAACTGATGGTCCATGTCTACACTTGACGAGTTTAAAAGCATAGATTTTTACGAAAATGATACAGTTTCTTACAAGCCAAATGACTAAAACAAGCCCAGGATTTCTTTACCTCGAAGATTCCACGAGTTCTCGACAGCAGCATTGTTCTTTGTATGTTCTCACAGGGTCTCATGGGGCAGTAAGATAGGAGTTATCTAGAGCTGGGGTCTCATTTGAGATTCTGTGTTCTCCGATAGACTCACAAAACCATGGAGAGAGCTAGATCTGTGAGGCTGTAAGATTCACAGAAGCATCTTCTTCAATGGCAGGAGGAAGTGTCCCTTAGAAAACCAAGTTACTGTGAAAAATTAACATGGTCACATAATACAACCCAGAAAATTTGACTTTAATATTAAACACAACTGTTTTAAAGAATGATAAAGCCATTGCACCCAGTCTATGCTCTTAATCAAAGATGGCAAGAGTATGCATAACAGAGGAAGGGAACCACGTTCTATATTCTACAGCCTAGCCCAAAAGGCATCCAACATTTTCACTTTGTTTTCAGTCTTTAGGTTAGACATTTGGGATATCTGCTCCTAGAGCATTAAATTTAGAAGTCATACATGTAAAGAGATTAAATAAAGACAATGTGTGTGCATAATAACAACCAAGGGGTACAACAACTCAGTAGAAGGGCATACTAAACCAGTATCAGAAAGAAAAGTAAACAGAGATAATGAATTCTGGAAGAAACTATGTATTTCAAATTGGAAGCTTTCAAACACAAATAAAATTTAAGGGAATAGAAAAATAAAAATTAGGAAGTACTCAATGTCATGGGGATACACAGAAACAAATTAGATTTTATGAAATTATGACAATTTCTCACATGTTATAATTTGCTTGAGGACAGAAAATAAAAACAAGAGAACATGGAGAAATATTGTGTTGAGAATAATAAATATCATGCTATAACTGTGAACTGAGGAAGTTTGAGAGTCTTAGAAAGAGATATCACGATGTTATGTCACCTTGATGACCATATGAAAGATAGCATCACATGGAAAAGAAGATGTTCTGATTGAGCACATGTCCAGGCCAGCCATGAAGGAAGGAAGAGTGCCCAGAGCAGTATCAGATGGGGGAGAAAGGAGAGTCATAATAAATTGATTATAGAAATGGCAATTATCTGTATGACTGCTAGATCTCTGGGAAGAGTCCAGATAAGCTTTCCCTCTTAAAAGTAGGTCTTCAATTTTTATAAGAAGTTAGAGAAAGAATAGAAGACATTTGCCAGATTAGCATTGGGAAAGAATGATTCCTTTCATTTAGGAAATTCAAACTTGAGGTCCCGGTGAAATAAATAACAATCTAATGGGTAGTTTTATTTATAAAGGAACACACACAGAGAGAGAGAGAGAGAGAGAGAGAGAGAGAGAGAGAGAGAGAGAGAGAGAATGAGAGAGAGAGGGGGGGCATAGAAGAATTAGAAGAATACTCACAGATCTAGATTTTGGAGTCAGAAGCTTGCAAGTATGAGCTAACCCACATTATAATGCCCAGAAAGAATATATAAAAGGGCTAGTATGATAAGGCAATAATTGAATGAAATGAAGAAGGAATCAGATGCTTTGAATCCATGAAAAAGTCACTACTCTAATAACAAGGGACAGAACAGGGTTAGGAGAGGTACAAAGGAATGTCAATAGCACCATTTAAGACTACAGTAGAAGAAGATGAAGACCAGAAGTTCTTGGTCCATCGCTCTGGGAATTGGGTCATTCAATACCTTTATTAAAGTAATTTAATACAGTATGGAAGAAAGAAAACCACTTGAGGTTGTCTGAGCTATAACAGGAAGTGACAAAACATAGATATAAATACCGACTCTTCTTCAAGAACCCCCCTCAAACAGTAAAAAGTTTAAACTGTAGATGAGGCACCAATTTTAAGAAAAGTAAAGATTTTTTTTTTGGCATGGTTTAGTTTTTCTTTTTCTTTTTTTAAGTCAAACTTGTCTTTATTTCTCAATTTAAAAAAAGTAAATCTATATGGAGTGAAATTTTCTTTTTGTTTTGTGTTTTTTTCTTTTTTTATTGGATATTTTATTTATTTACATTTCAGATGCCATCCCCTTTCCCCATTTCCCCTCCTTAGAGTGCCCCTACCCCATTCCCCATCTTCCTTTTTGCTTTTATACCATTTTAATTAATTTCAGGCAGGAATCTAAATTTTAGGCTAGAACAAGGAAGTAGGCTTTAGACATGAAAATTACTTTGGGCTAGGACAGGGAAGTTGGCTCAGATATTTTGGTCATCCTGATAAGCCCTTAGAAACAGTGATCACTGGAGTGTTCACAAAATTTTGGTTTTTTGCTTTGCTTGTTCCTTGACTATTTGTATTTATTGTCTTGCTTGTTCCTTGACTATTTGCATCTATCGTATTGCTAGTTCCTCAACCTAGAACTGACTTTAATACTTGAATGTAATTAAAATGGAATGTGTTAGTTTTATTCAATGAGTCTATAGAAAGAGAAAGTAACATATTAAAATAATAGCTTATATAAGAGATCAAAAAAGAGAGGGTGAGAACCAGAAACAAATACAACATAATAGTTCAATCTGGGACCACAAGAAACATCTCCCTAAGACCGAATGAAAGACTGTTAGTGTTATGATTCTGTTTGGATAGAATTCTACACAGATTACTAGGTGTAGTTAATGTTATTTAAAATTAAAGGAAGACCATGGACAGCCTCATACTAATACTTGGCTAGATATGTTCTAAAATAAATTATGGAAGACCTATAGAGAAAAATACGATGGTTCACTGAAGACATTGGTGTCCATCATAGGTAATGTCTTGCATCTGTGAACAAAACAAAAACTCACATAGAGTTGTTAAACTAAAGCAGATCAAGTAGGCTCAAGGTAGCTTTTGAGGTTACAAACTTAAAATGACTCCCCTTTCATGGTGTATGTTCTCCAATTGCATGCCATCCTATTGACTTGGGAGTAAAACCTGCACACACCTGGAGCTCACCTGGCTGATGATTTCAAAGTCCCGTGAAAGATTGCTACTGTTAGCAACTTAGATGCTAGTATTTAAAAGATTCCAGTTCTAAGGTTTAGATACAAAAAGTGTCAAGATGAATGTTACCTCCTTTGAGCCATCTCTTTCAATTCTTTCTGTTTTATGTACCTGGGATCCATTTCGTGCTCGAAACATACCATAAAAGTTCAGAAAGTCTGCATTTTCTATAATCTCTCATACTGGTTTCTTAATAAATCTCTTCATATGCAATCTCCCTCTTAACTTCAGCTGTGGAATACTAGGACTCAAGAGGCAGAGACCAAAGAATTGCTAGTAGTCAGAGCCAACCTGACATACAAAGCAAATCTAGGAAATGCTCTAGGAAGATTTCATATTTAAGTATAAATGATAAGTTAATTAACTTAAACTAGTAGCTATGTTTTAAAAATAAATGGCATCATATTTAAAATAATATTGAAATTAGGCTAATTCATAACTGAACTTTGAGTTCTTAACATTAGAATTCTCTCTGCAGTTGATATCAGAGATGTAGGGGAAATTGTTACATTAAGATTGGGAGAATGTGGATTTTTCCTTGTAGAAAAGTCTTTTCAGACTCCCTCATATACCTACATCTGACTCTCACAAATGCCTGGCTCTACCTTTGTGCTGCCTTAGCATCTTTCCTAATGCAATTTGCAAGGAGAGAGGAACTGAGCTCTGAGCTGTGATACAATGTTGCCTGAGGAGCCAGGTACTCAACCACTTCAGAAAAGTTGCATAATTCCCGTGAAAAATGAGTTCTTTCTGTTTTGATTAAGAAAAGTCCAGCTGAACCCACCTATAAGCATTTATATCAGCTTTATGTGGAATGCCATGGTTCAAATTCATGGCATTCGTGAAGGAATTACCGTTTTCTTTTCAGCAGACTATAAGGCGTTTTCCCACATGTTTCCTTCCCGTGCCCTTGATCCTCTTACAAGATTTCCTGAAAATTCACCTTTATTTGTTAAGTTATTAGCCTGTGGGGTGTGTGTGTGTGTGTGTGTGTGTGTTGTCGTTGTTGTTGTTACTCTCATCCATAACTGCAACATTATCTATATCTGTAACATCCATTCACTTATTGCAGTGTAGACTGCTATATGAATATAGATGAACATTTATGTGATGGTGTACGTATGTTCATGCACAGCCCATACAGTTATTTTCCAATAAGAAATTAGAATCTATTTTTGAATGTCATATTGCATTATAACTTTCTTGGGAAATCTTATTTTCTACTTTTTTTTATAACGAGTTGATACTAAAGATATTAAATAACATCGTTTCAGTTTTCTGTAACTCTGGAGGTTATTTTAGCTTCTCCTTTTCAGGTCCCTCTGGTTAATGAGAATGACATCCGTAGTTCTTTCACTGAACTGTGTTCACAAATGAATTCGCATATACAGGCAAAGCTTACGATAGTGGCCTGCACATTGTAAGTGCTCATTAGGTATGAAATATTTTTATATTAAGTAATTTGCTACAATGTAATTGTATCTTTGGGGGATGGGTTCTTAAATTATGAATAAACTTGTAATATAGTTGCTCTTGAAATGTGACTTCTAAAAAGCACCGTTAATATAGAATGTAGAAAACCTTGAATACTTCTTAAATCTCAATTTTCTGTTTCCCTCCTACAGTAGCTAACCAATCTCTGCCGAGTTTCAATTTCTTTAACACTTAAGATAAATATGTAATGATGAGCCGAATGCATGTTTTTGTTTACTAACTCATAGATGCCTGAATGATGAAGCTATGATGATGTTAAATATAAGTAAATACCGAATTTTTCCATTAAAAACCAACCCACTATGATGGGTTTTAATAACATAAAACTGCTTAGGTTTTCATAAAATGGAACTTGGAAATGTTACTTATTTACTCTAGTAGCACTTTTCTTGGTTTAATTAAGCATTACAATTACCATCTGTTTTCAGAGTTTCCAGCGATTCATAAATTAATAACATTAATGATAGCAGGAGAAAAGTAATAATGAAACATTCATATTTATTAAGGGCTGCGCTACACAATGCAAATGCAGCCATGCCGCCGCTATTACACTTTGAGCACTGTTTGTCCCAGCAACTTCCTTGCCATTGGGCTTTATTATTCT